TCCTTTTTTCCGCAATGGTTTGTGCTCTGAATGGATCCAAATATAGTGTTTGCCATCATTTGAGTTGAAGGTGCACTCATCTTGAGTAACAAGTATTAGAGGCTATACTTCCTCCGACAGGTGAAGAGGATTAGGAATCTCATTCAGATTTTCATCCCAGTGCAGAAACTGCTCCTTTAAGAGTGCCATACGGGGCAGAAAAACATTGTTGCGATAGTCTTTCACATCCTGGCGCTCGTGGCCATCATTGTAAATTCCCTTTCGATACTCTTTGTATTTGAAACCAAGTTTGCGCATCCATCTTGCAGCTGTAGTGGAATTTATTGCCTTTTCTATATCACGAACAACATTCTCCATTGATCGATTTGAAATGTCTTCATCATCACTGGGTTCCAGGGTTTGCCAGTGGATTACAATCGCATTGGCCAGATGGCGAGAGGTGATTTCTATAAAATACTTTATATTAATTCTGTCTTATTGATTAGCAGTCAAGGAAGGAATCTATGAACTTACTATCGCCAGCTTTCAAAATATATTCACGGACTGCCAGCATAGTCTCTGCATCATCCAGTAACGAGATAACCTTTTGATGTCTTCCTTGCCTTGGCTCTGGGATCTGGCGCTTTGTAACCCATAATACCTCATGTCGCATAATCCGCTCCACAATTCTTCTTCCCCATCCTCCTCCATCTGCCACTCTCTTAGCAAGCTTCTTGCGTGATCGCAATTGAGGTAACACTCCTGTAAACAAATCAGGGCCCTTTAGTACTGCTTGTTCTTGCTTTACTTGTAGCTTTAAAAACAGACACACTTGATAGTGCCATAAGAATGAGAGACCAGAAGGTCTATTCTTGGATTTGCTGTACCGTTGGGAAACCTTTTTCAATATTGCCTGATAGGAATCTTGTAGAATCTTCAACCGTCGAGGGCAGACCTGATTGTGAAACATGCGATGTCGAGGCCATGCTTGATAATCTAGCTTTAACTGAGCAGAAAATTCAGACTCAAGCTCTACATTTGCTGAAGGGCTATCCAACTCAGATACAAGTGGATCAGGAACTATTGGGCAAGGCACTACTGCTGCTGGAGAATGATTGATGGCCCATCGTTGTCAGAGTTTGCACATACGGAGTGCACTTGGTATTATAGCCTTTGGCTGTCCATTTTCTGCCTAATAATTTTACAAATCAGCATTTCTAGCAAGGAATGTAACGTGTTCGCAAGGTGCTAATCACGTTATCGATAATGGATACGATAGTTGGCAGGTGGCCTGCTCTTCCAGAGAGGAGGCGAGAGCTGAGAACTAAAGGAGGCTTTGAGGGCGTACTGAGGAACAAAGAAGTAACCGTTCAACCAAGTATATTGAAATACTGTCTGTCGAAGTCTGCCTTTTCGATCGTAGAAACAGGCGGTCTTTAAATACACAAATCTGTTCATGTCTAGCATGAACGAAACTAATCAATGGTATCAATTGATACTCTTTGGTAAAACTCTTTAAGTATCAAAGCGATACTTAAAACAAAACATAAAACAAAACCAAGTATCAAACGATACTTAAAACAAACCAAGTATCAAAGCGATACTTAAAACAAAACATAAAACAAAACCAAGTATCAAACGATACTTAAAACAAACCAAATATCAAAGCGATACTTAAAACAAAACATAAAACAAAACCAAGTATCAAAGCGATACTTAAAACAAAACATAAAACAAAACCAATAACCAAGTACCCGTACCGGTTACAAGGGAAAAAAAGAATTCAACAACAAACCTCAGCTTGACTTTGTCTCAATCTGGCTCGTCTTGCTCTGGCTCGAAGGGTGTTTGGATTTATGGAATCCGGTCGGCTTGGACATGAGGGGCTCATTGTATTAAAATTGTTGACTCGAGAATCAAAAGTAAGGAGAAGTTTTAAAGAAGACTTGAACTTTGTGATTATATTACTCTAACATAGGAGAATTAATGTAGGAATTAAAACATATAGTATCATACAAAATATCATCAGTTGAGCCCTAAATCTGACCTTTCTACTATCCTACTGCAAAAATTTAGATGGAATACCCCTAACCCTGATTAAGTAAAGCGTCATATTTTGAAACACCGTTGGTACACGTTCTTGTCACCTCACACCATATCATATTATTATGATACTTCCTGAGCAAGAGAGAATCGAGCACTCGCCGAGATACACCAGAGCGGGGGAGGTCCCAGGGCATAAAAATAGCCCCCCACCTCCTAAATCAATTAAAGCGAGAAATAGAGCAAAAGATAGCCAAAGACCGAGCGCTTCTACAATCTGTAGACTATCTCTACAATCAACTCCTTTGTTCTGTCGGCCGTCTCTTCAATCCCCTCGCCCTACTCCAAAAGTGGACTTTTAACGCCAATAATCAGTAGGGGCGCTCGTACGAAAAAAAAAAAAGGCAATAACCATATTATCATACTTGCTTTGAGAATGTCCAGTTTTGCATATGCACCGGTTCAAGCAATATTGCACGGTACTCCTCTAGGTTTAAATTCGACAGTTAGAACTCCCATAATCGCAATTTTACAGCGAATTGACTTACCCCTCCACCCCTGGTGGTTGGGTTCTGTTGCCGTGAAAACGGGACCTTTGGTTTATAAAAAAAGCGGTCATCAACGCTGACCGTTGCCACCTCACTCCACTAATAACAATAAATGCGGTATGATATTTCCATGAAATGATAAGGCATAATCGCCAAACAGGACAAAATCATGCTCTTTTGTTTGTTTTCACGTTTATGGCATTTTTTCGATAGTATATGGTAAAGGGATATCTGTGATAATATTATAATACATGTTTCTTTCAGAAAATGCAAAGATATACTCGGGTGTAGCATATATGGCATGTCAAACAATGGGAAAAACGGAAACAAATATATATATATAATTATAATAATATAAAAAATAAAAATACGCCGTAAAGGTGGAAATAACCATGGTATTTCTGGCATGTCTAATAGAGCCCTCTTTTACAATACGTATGGCTAACAGAGATGCTTATTGGGCCCTCCAATACCGGTATCGTAACTAAAGTACCAGGTCAAGAGGATTCGTCCGATGCCCTTTTTGCACCGAAAAAACCCTCATCTTCATCACCCTCTCTCACCGCGCAATTTCCATGATAATCTGTGTAAATCTGTCCATGCACAAGCAAACCTGTAGATGGCACGGAGAATGTTACAGAATTCTTAAATATTACAAAGAGACGGAGAAAAGGCTGTTTAAGTATCTGGAATCGGTTACCATGTACTGTCCAGTACTTTTTTGTATGGAGCCGCAAACAAAAAAATTTAGATCACTTTCACACTAGTTGACGCAATCATGAACAATAAAAACAGCTTTGATTCCTTGCACTTCTGCTTGTAGAAGTTGGAATAGATAGTTACTCCCTAGCTGGTGGAACGATTTCAAGTGTTTTTATACATTGAAAATGTCCATTTTTGCTGTAAACAAGGCACCGGACGAATCCTTTTGTCCCCCCTACGGTACTCTAACTATCCCATAGCAACCCTCCACCCGTGACAGCGGTAGCTGACTGCTGCTGCGTGCCGTAGTCTAGCCAAGCCCATCTACCAATGCTAGGGCAAAAATATGAGCAAAGAGAAGAAGAAACCCACCCGAAAACCCCCAGTACGATACACCAAAAAGCACAGCTCCTTCCCCGCGCCATTCCCACAACTCGAATTCGTCGCGGGGCAACAAGAACAGTGCTCCCTCCCCACTATTCAATCGACAATTCGCCTATCAAAGCGGTCAACGGATATCAATCATAACCGGGAAACAAGGGACCCCGATGGGGGGGGGGTAGGAGGGGGAGAATCGTGCTCGTCGCCGGAAATGTAGCGTGCGGAGGAGGAGGTTCTCGGGTTCGGTATTATACGGGAATTTCACGATGCATCTCCGAGTACAGTACAACGCCATAATCGGATATCAAAAAAAGTCGGTGTAGTGGCTCACACTGGATTTCACCGCTCGTGTTGATTTGGATTTGATTGGCTGTGATATGTTACTAATATGCTACTACTCGTAGTATGGTAAAAAGCAGTGATCGGCGACTAAATTACCCTATTAGGTGTCTACCAATAACTCGGGTCACGTTACCGGTAATTGGACAGCTCGCACAAAGGAATTTTTGAATAGCCTAGCATCCACGGCGAGTAAAAATTTTCTTCCCTAAATCCTTCCCATGACCCCCCCCCCGGACAAACATATCATAGAATAGAAACTTTTATTATTGTCATAACAGAACCTTTTGAGATTAGGGGTTTCTGGTCCTCGAACAGGGGCACTTTGAGGTTAACCATATTCTCATTATCACTCTACGATACCTTCCCGTCCAACTTTGAAGTGGAGTGCAGTGGACAGTAGAACATGCCTTCACTCCGAGTGAGGTGCAGGTGTGAAAATTGGCGCACTTCTGATAGATAAAAACATATACACCCCGAGTGGTGCACCACCCCACTCATCTCTTCACCACCACCTTTTCGATCCCCGCCATTCATACTCGGACATGTTCGGTAGAGAATAATTACAAGCGGACGACGCCAGCAGAATCGAGAACGGTAAGTCACTACGTTGAGGACCTCCTCGCCCGAAGTAGAGGAAAGGTTTTACCCCTGACCGGATGGCTCCAGCCACACAGCGCGGAGTTGAGAAAAACGACGATTCCTCTTTCTGCAATGTGTCCCGCTCGCTATATCACAAATAACGTGATACATCGCTCGCAGGTGATTTCTTCCCGAGGACTACCACCTCCCATGGAGTGCTGGGAACCATCAAACCCACCATTCCCGAGAGAAAATGGAGGATAAAGAAAGGGATCGTTTCGACCCACCCCCGAGTGATACCCCATGACGACTTCCCTCACCCTCACAGCTCACCGATTAAGCCCAGTCCTACTCGCGCACGGTATGACACCTGTATGATACATATCATACAATAACCAATTCAAGCCTCAACACCTTGTGCACACCCTAACCGCAATTGCTCATTTTCCGCAAAACCTATTGCCGGAACCCGGAACACAACTCCCGGGAGCTTTTTCCCATCATAGTGCTCACCGTGTTTACCCCCGAATCCGCCCACTCGCCCGGGCGAGAATTTTAACCAGCACCCATACAATAACAATACGACATAACAGGGACAAGCGATGAAGGCTAAGAAAAAGAAAAGTTGATAATACCATGAAACCTAACGGAACTGTACGATACGACGACCTCTATTCATCCACCCGAATGAATGCCACGCCACCAGCCAGCCAGCAATGCCCACAAAATCAACCCGGACCAAATCAAATCAGACCAAACGAGACCAGGCAAAAAAGAGAAAAGGAAAACCTAATACCCAGTAATGCCCTTAGCAAATAGAATAAATGAGTAAATAAACTGAAAAAAAGTGAAAAAAATCCAAGCGCTCTCAAAAGATAAAAAGTGAGGTATGGTAAAAGAAAAGAGTAATGAAACTCCTACTCTCGAAAAACTATGGCACATAAATCCTCGAAAACCCCTCCACCCCCTGCCGGCAGCATACACAACTCTTGTAATTGTTATGAGCGAGACAAACCCTGCAATCCTCACACAGGGCAAGGCACCTACACGGCCAAACGATGATGGTCCTGGTGGCGGATTGGCAGACTACGCACGAGCTATAGCTCGAAGCAGGGGTGGCCGGCGACTGTCGGCGCTGCTGCAGAATGATGGATTCCAAGGAGGTGGATGCGCCGTTAGCAGAGTGGTAGGTTGACCGGGTGAGGATGTTAGGTGCCTTCAGATGCCGGCCGAGGGCTTGCGCCTGAGCACGGTCTTCTGGGGTTTGTGGGTCGAGGAGGGTGGCGAGATCTGCTGCTGTTGAGAATATTTCCGTAAACGGGGATCGGGGGGGGGAAGGGGAGGATGAGGAGTCATGAAAGGGGTAAGGGTGTGATTGGGTGGGTGTCCGCGTGCCAGAGCGTTGGAAGCCATCGTCATCGGAATCGTAGGGGAAATCTGTTAGGGGGGCTGTGTCTGATGCTGCGGAGCTTACAGTGCTGGCATCATCGTCGTCGTCTATGGAGTCGTCGGGTTGGAAGTCGCCACTTGCGTCTGAGTCTGCCCAGAGGGGTCCCTCGATGTTTCCGATGAAGCGGGTGTAGAGTGATGTTGAGTTTGCATCCTCCTCTTCGACTTCCAAAATTGGGCCTTGATTTGCGTCAACCGATTCCGGAGTGTCGGGTGGGTCTCTTTCACGGGTGCGGAATAGAGTTGGTACCCAGCGGGAGGTTAGACTGACGAGAAGGACTGATACCCCTCGCATCATTTCCCCAGCGCCAGCCCATCTGCTGCTTCCGGTGCCGCTTCTGCCCTTCTTGGGTGCCATAACTCCCTTCACGTCCTTGCGCTCCTGAGAATATGGGCCCTTACCGACACCGGTCCCGACTAATCCTGGGGCTGCACCTCCACCACCTATACCTAACTTCCTCTGGGAATCCAGAACCTTAGTCCTCTGGTCCTCCAGCCAAGTCCACGCTGGAAGCCTAACCACCCGCCCCTCATTCAAATAAGTAGCCTCACTAGCTGCCGTCAGACATTGGAACCCCAACTTCAACAAGGTGGTATAAAAGTCATCACTATTATTAATGGTAACCGTCCCCAACGTCAAATTCGCCTGCAAATTATCAAGCCCAGCACGGAAGCTCGGCCTTTCGCTAACGCTGGGTGGAGGAAGCAACGATGTAAGTACTAAAGCGAGTGCGTAAATGGCCCCACAAACAAATATCCCGGTGAAGATAACCAGGTGAGGAATGAACCCAACCACGCATACAGTGGGGAAATTTAGTACGGCACCGGATTCAGATCTAAAAATTAGTGCCCACGCAAAGCCGCTCAAAAACGCAACACCCCAAATGCCTGTGCTGAGCAGCCGGTGTTTTGCCTGCCGGTTGAAAACGCCCAGAATGTGGCTTGTGAGGTGGCCGAGGGCGGAGATGAGCGAGATATAGAGAACTTCTGGGGGGACGTTCTTCTCCGTATGAACGAGGACCCTACGATTATCTGCGACAGTCGTCTCGCCGTCCGGGGGGGCCGATTGTATTTCGAAAACCTTAGGCACGGCTAGAAACTCGGCTTCGGCGAAGGCGAGGGAATGCTCCATAAGCGTCATACCAGTCTCCGCAGCAGGATTGCGCGCCGTAACGGCGCAGATAAAGCTCTCAACAAACTGGCTAAAACAAACGGTTTTGTAGAACGGCCACAGAAGCGCCAGACTCCCCTTGATAGGCTCCATATCTTTGATCCCCTTCCGCCCCTTCTTCTCACCCACCGGCTTCCCATCAGAATCCTCGCCGGCAGTATCCGGAGAGGGTTTATCAAATCCCGGAACCTCGACACCCGCGCGCAATTCCGGAGGAGCCTTCATACCCCCCCACTGGTAGACTTGTTCCGCCCAAGCCTCATCCGGAATCATCCCCACGGCCTCACACACCTGCAAGTCATCCATCCACCAGTTCCCAACTCTCGCGACCTGCCACAGAAACCCGCCCGCAGGCCTCGGCGATCCATCGCTGAGGTAGACCTCGCTCGTTTGGCACCTGAGCGCGAGAGAGATACTGTAGATGTGGAACAGGCAAAGAACGATGGGCGTAAGGCGCATGAAGAACCTGGTCCTGGTGGTTAACGTAAGCGGTCTCCGTAGCGAGGCATAGATACTCGTCCTGTTCAGAAGTAAGGCCTAAATTCCGGGGATAAAAAGCGGTTGTCAGTAAATGGCAGCTAATATCACAAACTCAACTAGTACACTATCATCGGAAAGGCCTCCATAACCATACTGGTTCACGAATGTAGCTGTGGCTGCTATAGTAGGGAGGTTCGAAGTTTTCGGTATACCCATGTCCGCGAGGTTGTAGTGCAGCGTCCGACTCATCGCGACGACCCGGGGTCTCTTATCCGAAGATTACGGAAAAAATTAGGTGGGGAAAAAAAGAGCGAATACCGTTTATGAAATGGCTGCTACCAGATCGGGAAAGGCGTCTTGGTAGAGAGGGTGGTCTTGGTCCTACTGCCCGAGATGCTGACGGGGTGCCCGATGTGTGACAAGAACCCAATGTACCTTTATCCAAAGAAGAGACTCGCGATGCCTGTTTGCTCGAGCCGGCACACACTATCCGGGAAGGTATACCTCGGCTGGTAGGTTAAAACTCGACACTATGATCGAAAAATACAACCCTACTCAAGCCCCGGGATTAGAGCAGCGTTTCCCCCGGCGTGTTAGCACCAGCGGACTCGCAGCTCCCGCCCGGCGGTGTTGTTGGCGTACCGAGAACTCCGAACCTCGCTAATGTTGACGCCAGCCAGAGAGCGGCCACAGTTACACCCGTGAATCAGTGTGGTCACGAGGAGGCCTCCCGAGCGGGAATGTAATGTCGAATCGTTTGTAGGCAGAATTGTTACCGCATACAACCCAGATCCGAGCGGGAGTGCCAAATTTGGGAGCATACAATAGCAGTCCCTCAAACGGAACGACACCGCCCGTGCCCCAGAGCCACAACAAAACAAACAAAAATGGACGGGGGAAACCAATGGAAACAGCAATAGCAAACGAGGGATTTCCAACAAACTAACCATGAACAAGCACATAACGGCCCACGGACTGGTGACATATGTAAACACGTTCCGAACCCCTCTTCCTGGCCGCGACGTCGCTGCCTCCATCGCCGAATCAACACTTCCGACACTTTCAGCTGCGTCCGTGATCTGTTGAACGGCGTTGCTAGCTATCGCTGTTGCTACCTGATCGGCGGTAACGTCCGTTAGCGAAGCGACGGCCTCCGGTCGGGACATGACAAATTTGAACATTGAACCGTTAAACAGCGAAGACAGGAAGCCACCATTCTGGGTCTCCATGGTGAAGGAGTGTTGATGATGAGCGGAGCGGAAGGGGGGAAGGAGGGGGGGGAAATGAAGGAGGAAGGAGCGTTACTTGAGTGGAGAGAGTGGGATTACAGGGGGAAGTGAAACTTGGTGTAATATAGCTTGGCAACTCCTTCTTTCGGTTGCTCGGGTTCTTCAGAAACTGGCGTATCACGGACAGTGGGCAAAGATTACTTGTATGATAATAATATGATAGCTGCTGCGGTTATAAAGCCTCAAACACACTCAGCGGCACCGTACCCGTACCCTCTACCTTCCGGGCCCTTCCTTAATGTGGTGACCCTGTTTGTACTCGAGCACCGGTACAATATGATACGATTTGCACCGTTTGCCTAATTTTCAAATAATAGAAAGCACAACAACGCCTTACATTACGAGTTATTACGCCTATTCCAAACAATACACGAAGCGAATGTTTACACCCGCACCCTAAATTTTCGCGTACACCGCATCCCCGGCTCCAGCCCACCATCTCCACACCACGACCGCGAGGACCACAATCCAACCGGGCCACATAAGAATCAGCATAACGGGATTAGGCTGTAACAACAGCAACACCATTTCGTAAAAGAGCGCGTCCTTGAACTTTCCCCATCGGAGGCGCAGGTCCAGTCCCTGTTGGAGGAGAAGGGCGAGGAGGTGGTGGAACATCTGCTGAAGAATGGTGAGATCGGTTAGGAGTTGTAAGAGTAGGATCGGGATAGGGAATGTCCAGGCCGCCTTTGCGGGGGAGGGGGTGCCGGTTCCTGTCGTCGTTTCCGTCCGGGGGGCACTTGTGATCATCCTGAAATCGTAAGGTGTTGGTCCAGTGGTTTGGTTTGGTCGATGGGGTAAATATCCAGGTATCAAACGTACGGGAGGTGGACGGATAGAAATTGTAGTCTGAGGTGAAGAGAGGTACCAAGTGTCCGGGAGTAAAAATGTACGATACCAAGGGTTATGAAATTGTGAATATGTATGATACCTGTCTGCTGCCCCGAAAACTTCAACTTGCGGACAGAAAAAATCAAAAAAATAAAGTAGAAGAGGGCACAGCAGATATATCATATCCTCACCCCTACACCTAAAGGGAGAAAGAGAGAGAGAAACCCTCCCCTAAGATACACGCGCAGGCACCCGTATGATGATGTCTGGTATCATAGACACCCGTATGATACTGTATCCAATGCCCTCCTTCCTTCACTTCCATGCCCTCTTCCTTATCCTACGCTTCCCACTCCAGACTCTTCTTCCTCCCTTCAACCAGAACCAAACCAACCCCCCACCTGACCCTCTGTTGAAATCCCTCCCCCCCCAAAAAAAAAAAATTCTCTCACCGAACGCCCACAAACAGCACGCTAGGGATAATAGAACCTATGGTGTCTGCCAAACAGGCCCTATCATGCCATAATCCAGCAAAAACCGAGATATTAACGAAATCCAAGGTGCGGACAATCAGAGCACGCCACCACGTGTTGTCCCGTTCAGACACTCAATTTGTTCATAAATTGGGAGGGAAGAGATAACCCAACCCAGCCCAGCTGCTGGCACCAGGCACGTTCGAAAGGACGAGAATAGCCGGAATCAATTCTTGCTATTTATTGTACCATACTCAAAGAGAATCGGGTGGGGCGGGAGGAGGTCGGGGACGTGGGTACGGTACTGTACTCGAGTGCCGTACTAGAGTATGATACGCTTCTGGAAAAAGGCGACTGCATGCAGCTGCAGGTCGAGCGGGAGAATTCCCAGCATCCAGTACCGTACCTGATTGAGTGGTCTCCAGTCTTCCGGGGACGGGCTCGTTTGAAATTGGAACAGTATTTGATCTTCAATGGCCAATTCGAAAGAAAAAAATATATGATAATATTTTTCCCCCCTGCCGTATGGGAAGATAGTCCCTCCACAAGATAGTTGCAATGCTTTGAATCCTCAAGTGTTGCAATATTTCACTCGTTCGAGCAGATGTTTTGCCAAGACTGATTAGGCATCATAAAGCTGTACCAGTGATATCAGATGTAACTGCAACGGCAACCGCGCTGCGCGGTTGCCGTGAATCCTGTGCGCTTCACTCCTACTATACCAGTATGGGGGAAATTGTTGTGCCACCCCTCTTAGCCCGTGAGTATCCAAGACAAAGATTAATTAAGTAACTCTTATAAAATATTATTACAGCCCCCGGCAAGAAAAATCGGGAAACAGGGGGGTAAGACAGGGGAGCAGACAGGGGGATAAGACATATAGGAATCTGTAATTAAACTCTAAAATACAGGACACTTTCAGCTTTTTACAGTCCACTCACCACTGTGTATGCCCACCATTAGCACTGATCATGCCCTGGATCCGCTCTGGCATGCTGTCGACTAACTTCACAATTTCCTCAATTGTGATCTTGCTCCACTCGTTGATTAAGGCCTCTTTGACTTGTATTTGGCCTTTGGATGTTGGTTGGTGTTGGTTGACATGAGTCTTGATCAGGTTCCATATATTTTCGATAGGGTTTAGATCGGGGGAAGACGGCGGCCATTTCAGGGAGGGGATTTTGTAGTAGTCACGGTAGGATTGTGTATGACTGGCCCAATGAGATGATGCTCCATCCTCCATGAGCCAAAGAGAAGAACCTATATGGCAGCACTCATGGTACCAGAATGGCCAAATTGTAGGAACAAGAATGCGATCAACATAGGCTTTGACTGAGATTGTACCCCAAATATCGCTTTCTCAAATAACCAAAACCTTTTTTCCTCCATCACCGAATATAGCTCCCGATATCATAACAGAGTCCTCCTTTTGAAATCTTGAAACTAAACAGTCCTGATGCCACTTTTCATATACTGCATGAGTAACATGCACCTTTCCTTACAACCCCCCCAGCCAAATATAACATTCATCTGTCCATATCACATGCCTCCACTCTAGTAAACCCCAATGAGAATGGCTCAAGGTAAAGGTAAGAAGCTTTCCATGTTTTTTTTTCGACGAAGTAAGGCTTTCGGCGTGCAGAGCATCCGTGGTATCTGTTGCATTTGACTGTGCCACATGGTTGACAGTCTTCCCTTCTTAAACCCATAACCCTCCTTGGCAAAGGCGTTTCATAAAGCTTTCTCACTGGCCTCAATTCCTAACTCTTGGGCGATATCAACCTGATGCATATGGCGGTGTTCAGCATCTGAAATAGGTAAAGCTACTAGTTCTTGTTGTTATGGAGTACTGAGTTTAAGCTTTCGACCACCCAGGAATTTTTTTTATGGTGTTGCTGGCCTAGCATATATTTGTCCAACTGCTAATATTGGTATGTTCTGGCTCTCCGCTATTTGCTGTAATGTCCAACCCACAGTAAACCATAAGGCATGTATTGTACATTGTTGTCACGAAGGTGGCTTGGTGAGGAAAAGGTTTTCACATAACATATCGTTATGAGTCACAGGTATGATATTGTTTCACACATATAACTCATTCGAGTCATAAGATTTGTTATGTGTGGAATTTGTGATGCTTTCGCACATGGCTCAAATATAAGTCATGGGATATGCGTCTGGCGAGTATACCTTGCAAGTGTGCCTTGTGGGTATGCCTTGCACATATGATTAATATTTAGCACATGACCTCATTATGAGGTCATGGGTTTCACGCATATGAGTCATTCGAGTCATATAATTTGTTTATTGTATTATGATTTGTTTATGAGTTTTTACACATGACCTCGCTATGAGGTCATGGGTTTTGAGCATGTGACCATTTTGGTCACAAGACTAGTTTGTTAAGATTTGGTTTCGCACATGTGACCACTTTGGATCACATGACTATGGGCGGGAAGAATACTATATAAGGAGGCCTATGCGGCGGAGGAGGATAGGTTCTTCATGCTTTGTTCTAAGTACTTTTCCTTGTCCTTGCTGTCGCTTCACCCCGAGCGTTTCTTTTGCCATCATGACGGGTCTTGATGCCTTGGATTCTGGGGGAGATATCTGAGTTCGCTCAGTAGTTCCTGGGGTATTTGGTGTTGAGGTCAGTTAGGTGTTGCGTGGCGGATAACTTGTTTGTGTCTCGTTTCGTTGGACTGGTTATCTCACGATACTAGCACTTTGGGCACTTCATCATTGTCACATACGAGCCCCTTTCGGTAAAATGTCTCCGGCTTCCTGTCTATTGTCTACTCGCAGGTTTGGTGTTCGTTTGGGGGGATTGAACACTGCGTTTGGGGGAATCACCCATGTCGTTCTTTGGACCAGCTCATATTCTTGTTGGGTTTTAACGGAGTTCTTAGTTTTTGCGATACAAAACGCCCTTGGGTTAGACTGATGACCTTCCCAAGTATCAACATGTCGCACCGGCCGCATCACTTCC